GCACTCACTCTAGCCTGGGCAACAAAGCGAGACTCTGTCTCAAAAAAAGAAAAAAAAAAGAAATCAGCAGGATCTCAGTAAGGACTGTGAGCTTCCTGGAATTTTAACTTTCCCTATGTCTATTCCCTCTCACCAGCTCTGCAGTAGCTTTGAGAGCCGGCAGCCGTCAATCACAGCAAGAACGGCAGCCTGGCAGCCACCAGACGGGACACAACAGGGTTGGAGGACCTCCCAAGCCCATTCTCATAGCATTGTTACAGTGGTTTCCAGAAAGATCCCACGTTCAAGGCTGTCTTATTTACATGAATCTGAAACCCAGCACCCACAGCCTTTTCCTTGGTGGAGCTTGTTGAGAACAATGAGAGGCAATTATTAGATCACGCTGCTGGAGGTGGCAGATAAGAGTTGGGACAAGCAATAGGTTGACCAAAAAGCTTAGAAGGAAAATCTGGGGAATGAGATATCCACAGTGGGCTTTGAAACACTCCTGCGTATTTCTGGGAATCTAAGAGACCATGGGCATAAACAGGGCTGTGCCCAGGGTTGTCCACATGCCCAGGAATACTCGAGAATGCCCTGAGCTTCACCTCTGCCTAACTCTAAGGCTTTGAGAAAGAAGTAAAGGCAAATGTTGTAAACTGCCTGAGTGATGAAAGATACCCCCCAACACACACAGAACCCCTCAGCAAAGGCTGGGAGAACCATCAGATCCAGGCATCTAAGGAGATCTCTGTCCAGTCATTAGCTGACCTTTAGGCTAACCTAGCAGAGACTTCAGTGGCCACACACCACAAAGAATTCAGATTTTACAGAATTGGTTTGGAAAAGTCACTAAACAAACAAGCAACAATAAACAGCAACAACAACAAACGCTAAGAAGGGTGAAGAATCTGATTTCTGGAGTTGTCATATTATATTATTTTAAATGCCCAGCTTTAAATGACAATAAAAAATTATGCGACATGCAGAAAGAAAAAAAAAAAAAAAGAAAGAAAGTACGGCCCATACACAGGGAAAAAAGCAGTCAATAGAAATTATCCCTGAGGAATCCCAGACTTTGAATTTGTTAGATAAAGACTTTAAATCAGCTATTGTAAATATGTTCAAAGAGCTCAAAGAAACCATATATAAAGAACTAAAGGAAA